GAGCAAGGTATGTCGGAGGCATACCACCCCTAGCACCTCCACCCCAGAGGCTCTCTGAACCCTGCCCTTTGGAAGTTTTACAGAGGGTTCATTATGTAGGCATGATTGATTAAATCATTGGCAGTCAGTGATGAAGAGTATGTCCAGCACCTCTCCCCTCCCTGGAGATCATTTGGGGGAGGGGTGTTGCTGAGAGTTCCAACCTTATAATCACAGTGAGATCCCCTGGCAACCACCCCCACCATCCTTAGGGGTTTTGCAGAAGTCACTGTATTAACATAAACACAGGTGTGGTTAAAGGAGCTTTTATGAATAATAAAACATGCTTCTTTCACCTTTATTGCTTTTATCATTTAATTAGGGTTTTAAGAGCTTTGTGTCAGGAACCAGGCAAGAAAACCAAATGTATATATTTCTTATTATAAATCACAATATCCCAGCAATAGTATCTTCTTCTAGGTTTTTGTCAAATATTAAGCCACTTAGGGAGCTTAGTTTATCCCTGAGAACTTAGGAAAAGAGGCCAAGAAATCAAATATGGAGCCATAAGGCTCAATGCCTAAAAGCCAAGCAAAATCTCAGATTGTGGTTTCCAAATACAATTTTTTACTAAATGATACAATGGGTCCTTGGAGAAGTACACTCTAGGTTTTTTGTTTGTTTGTTTGTTTTTGGTTTTTTTGACAGAGTCTCACTTTATTGCCCTCGGTAGAGTGCTGTGGCATCACACAGCTCACAGCAACCTCCAACTCCTGGGCTTAGGTGATCTCTTGCCTCAGCCTCCCGAGTAGCTGGCACTACAGGCACTCACCACAACGCCTGGGTATTTTTTTGTTATGGTTTGGCGGGGGCTGGGTTTGAACCCACCACCCTCGGTATATGGGGCTGGTGCCCTACTTACTCACTGAGCCACAGGCGCCGCCCCTACATTCTAGGTTTATGACAGGAAACATCTGTCCTCACATCAGTGTTTGTGCCACTGTCCAGAAACAGAATAGGCAATGTATACAGATGCAAATATGCACATGTAACCTTGCTCACCATCGTTAGTCATTGGGGAAATGCCTTGAAACCACTGAGTCAGGACAGACTAGGTTATACTGCTAACCAGTAAACAATTAACAATAAAAGCCCTCAAATTCTTGGTAGCCTAATACAACAAAAGTTTCTTTTGCTATAGTTTGGCAGTGAAGATCTCATTTAATTAGGACTCAGGCTTGAATGGTGCTGATCACCATGGCATTGGAAAAAAAGAGTTAGTTCTGATATTTAGGGGGTTTGTTATACCCTAAAGATGCTTATCTTGGCTTGGCATCCATAACTCAGTGAGTAGGGCGCCAGCCACATACAATGAGGCTGATGGGTTCGAACCCAGACTGGGCCAGCTAAACAACAATGACAACTACAACCAAAATATAGCTGGGTGTTGTGGCAGGCACCTGTAGTCCCAGCT